TCTCTGCAGTCAGAGGTTTTTGTACGACGCTTTCATCAGTTTGTATCACTGTGGTGGACTTTTGGTGGAGGAACCAGACTCACAGTTAACTGTAAGTACCTTTAAGACTTTTATTAAAACTAATTTTATTTTAGCATTTGTCATAACCATTAATAATAATAATTAATTAATGTTTATGAAGGTAACTTGTAAAATATTCTTGTATTTGTTGTTTTAACTTCAGAAATGATCTGTTCAGCTACAAGTTTATTTACAGCTTTTTGAACCATCTGCATCTGAAAACAAATGGTTCTTAAAAACATTTTGGCAAATTTTGTTTATCTTTTAAGTCAGTATATCTGATTTTTCAGGGTTTATTATATTTTATTAATGTTTTTAGTGTTATAAAAGTTTTTGTTTTACTCTAACAGGAAAACGACTAAACAGACTTAAAGAGTTTTAACAAGCATTGCTCTGAATAGAAGCATTTATGTGTGAGAAAGAAAATCTTTGGTTAAATCAATCCTTGTTGATTTTTTCTCAAAAATATTCTTTTATTTTGGTCACATCTTCACAATTTAATATTTGATCATTTCTGAACCTTGAAATGTGTAAAACAGTGAGTTTGTTTGTCTCATCACTTTATAAAAACAAATCTCTCAAAATGAATGAAAAACAGGTTCTGTTCAAAAGAACAATTTTATTTGTCAAAATCTATTAAATTTAATCAAAAATAATCTATTTTACAAACATTGAAGACAACTGAAATTCTGTTCAAAGCTATCAGTCAGACTGAACTGAGAGCATTTCCTAATCACTGCAGTTAAAAACTAAATGTTTGTATAAAGAATAATATAATTATGCTGCAGTGTTTAATTAAAATAATGAGGTTCTTTTTAAGTTAAAAACTGAATCCTGGTTGTGAAAACTACAGAACTTATTTAAAAGTTTCAGTCCTGCTTTGAAACATGAAGAGCAGTTTTTATCTTTAGTTGTGAAACTGCTCTGTTGCTGTGCTTCAGCAGTGATGCCTGTCTCCTGCCATGGTTCCTGAGCTCAGAGGAGGAAGTGAAACTCTGAGCAAAAGTTTCATCTGAACTCTTCAGTGTGTTTTCTGTCTGCAGTGGATCGAACGCGTCCCACCCTGACGGTGCTGCCCCCCTCCAGTGAGGAGCTGCAGCAGGAGAAGGTCACCCTCATGTGTCTGGCCAACAAGGGCTTCCCCTCAGACTGGACTCTGTCCTGGAAGGTGGACGGCAGCAGCAGCAGCAGCAGCAGCAGCAGCAGCAGCTGGGAGCAGAGCAGGAGCTCCGAGGTGCTGCAGAAGGA